GGAGGAGGTGTATAGTGGCTTGTCTAGGCGCAGGCTTCGAGCTGCACCCACCACTTGTACCCAATCCCACCATCAGATGGCCGACCGGTTCGGACAGTGGACTGGGGGGGCGGGGGAAGTGAGGTCGACTCTGGAGGCTCCGTGCCCACGCACGTCGGCGCGTATTCCTTCCTGCAAAAAATATGACTCACTGGAACCTATCAAACTGCACTAAAAGTCGTGGCCTGGGAGACTGCCAAGTAACGAAATAACTCGCTCCTCCTCTCAGGATGAAGATTCAGGTTGCAATGGCTCCCTCTGAGTGCAGACTTACGACAATTTCCCCAGGTGTGATCCGAGCTGTCTCTGAAAACCGAGTTCATCGTAAGTGAACTAGGTGTATGCGGTAAGCGTAGACAGGCTGTCTAGCGATTTCAGCCACTGCGCCTGGCTCCGGCTCATTTTGATTCTGTGTCGACACCAGGCTCAGAGGGGTGAAAGAGGAGAGAGTGTGATAGATACTGCACATATATGCTATCATTACAACAGTTCGGCTGTCGTATCCGACGATGTCCGCTGTGTGCTTCCAAAGCAAGGGGAGGCAGGCACAATAAATTGCAGGTGATTTGGTTGATGATTATGGTAGACTTTCGCCGCATCTACCGCACTTATCTTTCCCCCCCACCTGGGCCCGTTGTCATGACACAGTCAAAAAGACTGGAGGCGGGGGAAGGCGCAGATGGATGGCACGGTCGTGTCCACATCTTGGCGCTCCGCTCCACATCCCCTGGTCCACACAGCAAATGACTAGGAGTCTAACCAACAGCAAAAGGTGCCGGTGCGGCCGAAGCCGCCCCTAGGAATGCCGCCACACTTGGCCCGGATCCCACGGAGGTGAGAATACCATAAAGGCTACTTTACAAAGGAGCCATTGCAGTCCGACTCTTATACCAGCAGCCTGCCGTTACACACAACACTGGGACGACTGCGAGGTCCAAGCTATCCCGTCGGTTGGCAAACTTCCAAGCCACTGATCTTAGCGCACCGTGATAGCTTCAAGTGCGTCAAATTGTTTATAATGAGGAGAAGGCGCTGAGTCGTCAACCCTGACTCCCCATTCCCAGACCCCAGCCACTGTCTGAGCCGGTCGGTTGACGGGTGCGGGGAATGGGCGCGGTGGCCGACATATCTAGTGACCTTGTCTAGGCATGCCACATGCAAGACCTAGCCCCCCAAAACACAAGCACCAGGACTTCACACAACGGGGCTTAAGAGGCGTACACCTCCCATGCATGAGAGTGCCATAGGTCACGTTAAAAATAAGTTGTTTGAACCTGGCCCTCGGTCCACCAGTTTGCCACTCCACACATACACACACAACTGAGCGGCCTGTGTGGACTGAGTTGAGGCGTAAAGAAGGAGACACAATCGCTGGGACGAGAGCTTTATTCGCCTGACGTTTCGAATTCCTACTCGAACCCATCATCAGAGACAAACGCTGATGCGGGTGGTTCATGCACAAGGGGTGCAGTATTTATAGGATGAAGTCAGTCGACAGCCTTCCTAGCCACGGCGCCTGACTCGCCAGGATAGCCTCAGATTCGAATCACACATGCAGCAGAGGAGCCACATGGGGACGGAGCCTAGAAGCACACTTCACGCTTGCGTGGGAGGTGCAGTTGGATGCTGGTGGTGGGTGACGATGTGTGATATAGGTGAGCAAAGATGTGATGGTGTGGTGTAGGTTGTCTGCCGCAGGTTTTCGTGAATGTGCATGTGGTCTAATAGGCACATCCGGTGCGTAAATATGCGGGTGCGGTGAGGGCACTTGAGGCGGTTGCGTTGGGTGTATGTAAATGCTTCGGAAACTGGTTTGGCAGTCTCTGTGAGATGGAATCGCAAGGGACCGACCAGGCCGATGCGTGAGATGAAGGTGTGATCGCAATGAGGACAGGTATGGACCGAGTCCACATCTCTGGTGGTGGCGGTGGCGAGGTTGATGTTTGCCGGTAAGCTAGGATTGAGTGCAGTGGGGCTGGCTACAGGAGCTGTCCTAGTGAATGCTGAAGCTATGAAGGAGGACGGTAGTGGGGGCTTTGGAGTGTGGTCAGTGTTGATTATCGGCGTGGAGGGCGAGTCAGAGGTGGACGGGTGGACATCGGGTGGTGTCGCCCAGGTACCGCAGTTGGTACCAAGATTTCCAATGAGGCCGATTGGTGCCCAGAACGTCCGCTGACAGCGTGGGCAGGTCGGAGGTGTTAATTTTTGGCGTTGAGAGGCGTGAACAGTTGAGATTTACGAGCTCCACGTTTAGCTTTGGCGACGATGATGCGGTCGGCTTCTTGGATCCCTGCGCCTGTCTTCTCTGCTCTCCGCCAGGTCCGTCGATCCCGGGCGAGGTCTCCTCAGTTAGTCGGGTCGATTTGCAGGCGCCTAAGCGAAGTCTTTAGGGTATCTTTGTGGCGCCGAACTTGACCTCCTTGTTGGCGGGAACCCGTGGTGACATCTTTATAGAAGAGTCGTTTAAGTAACTGCCTTTCGTCCATACGCACCAAATGGCCACTCTAGCGCAGTTGCAGTTGTCTCGGCATGGTGTAGATGCTGAGGATTCCGTCCGTCTCGTTACGTCCGTGTCCGGGATCCGGTCCCGCCACCTCAGCTTTAATATCCGTCAGAGACGGCTGAGGTGGAAGTGGTTTACTCTTCGTGCCTGCTTCTTGCACACCGTTCAGGTTTCAGCTGCGTGCGGCATCGTCGACAGGATGATCGCTTGTACATCTTCCGTTTGGTGCGGAGGTGTAGACCGTGCGGATTTCAGACTGTGTTTCGCAGTCGACCGAAGGCCTGGCTGGCCGGGTAAATCCTGTAGGTCATTTCATCTTATACGTTGGTGTTGTGAGACAGGGTGCTGCCTAGGTAGGTGAAGTTGTCCACAACTTGCAGCTGGGCGCCGTTCACGTTGATCTTGGGTGTGACGTAGGCAGTGTCGGGTGACGGCTGGTGCATAACCAGGCCGAAGTTGTCGCAGGCGGCGGCGAAGAGATGCATGCTCCTTTGCATGCTCCTTTCCGAGGTGTCGTTGAGGGCGCAGTCGTCGACGAAGATAAGTTCATGGACGGAAGTTGCGGATACACGCGATCGTCAGTTCATCCGCAGTTGGTTGAGGAGTTGGCCGTCCGTCCTGTAGGCGACGCAGATCCCAGGACGTTCGTCTTGATATGTGCCCATCAGTATGGCAGGGAACATGTGATTGAAGAGGGTAAGCGCGAGGACGCAGCCCTGCTTCACGCCGTTGGTCACTGCGAATGCCTCTGAGACAGTTCCATTGTCCGTGACTTGCGCCCTCATGCCATCGTGGAACTTACGCACCATGTGAGTAAATCGTTCGGTACAGCCGAATTTCTGCATGATTTTCCACAGTCCCTCAGGATTTCGCGTGCCAAAGGCCTTCCTCAAATCCATGAAAGTGGAGTAGAGTTAGATCCGCATTCCCTGACAATTCTCCTGCAGTTGGCGGGCCGCGAAGATCATGTCGGCGGTTTCGCGATGACGGCGGAAGCCGCGCTGGCTTTCCGGCAGGAGATCTTGTTTCAGACGGTTGTTCAGGCGGTTAAGAAGGATGCGAGCGAAGATCTTCCCGCCGATGTTTAGGAAGGAGATGACCCGTTGGCTGCCGCAGAGCTGGCGGTTATCTTTCCGCCCATAGAGATGCACGATTGTGGCGTCCTTGAAACCCTGGGGGACTTCTCGACGTCACAGCTCCCGAAAGAGCGCAGTCGGGTGTTTCACAAGTTTGGAGCCACTGTGCTAGTAGATCTCAGCGGGGATCGCGTCCGATCCGGACGCTTTCCCGCTGGAGAGCTTTTGCACGGTCTTGAAGGTTTCGTGTAGAGAGGGTTGGAGGTCGAGGTCGGTGTTGGTCTACATTTGAGGCAGACGGACGATGGCATCATCGAAGATGGTGGAGGGATGGTTGAGGACGCCTCTGAAGTGCTCGGCCCATTGCTGTAGAATTTGTGTCTTCTCCGTTAGTAGGGCACTGACATCGGCGCCGAAAAGAGGAGCATTTGTCTTGGCTGTGGGACAGCCTTAATGGCTGCGAACAAATTCTTCTATTCGTTGCGGTCCGCGTACTCTTGGATCTCCTCGGTCTTGCGAGCCATCCAGGCCACCCTGCACTTCCCACAGCCGTTGTTGCGCAAGGCGGCGAACACAGTAGAAGGCTGCTATGTTGTCATCGATGGGGTGGTTGACGTAGGCTTTGTGTAGGCGGTTGTTCTCGACGGGCAGGTTGCTGATGGCTGCGTCACTGTCGTTGCACCAGTCCTGATGTTGCCGACATGCATTACCGAAGACAGTTAGGGCGCTTTACTGAATCATGTCCCTCAGTCGACACCATCGGTTTTCAACGGAGACGTCGACTGGAAGGTTGGCTAGCCTTTCAGCTAGTTCATCGCTGAAATGGAGATAGTGGGCTTGCAACGACCACAAAGCACTATTCAACTTACCCAGGAGTCACATGCCCTGAGGTCTCCAGCGAGGCTGTGGGTAAATCCGCGTCTTCGAGATGATGGGGCGATGGCCAGCCCACCCGTCAGCGCCCGGGATCGCCTTTGCCACCAGCACGTTCAGCTGGTCTCGCCCTTAGATGAGGAATTGGTTCAGCAGGTGTCGGTGCCGCGACCGAGGGTGCACCCAGGTGCCCACCTCTTGCCTCGGAAGGCTGGTGAAGGTGTTGGTCAGGATGCGGTGTTCTGCGCAGGTTCGCAGGTGGAGCAGACCATTTTCATTGGAGCCTTTGAGACCACGGGGACTCAGCACTTCTCTCCAGGCAGCATGTTCTGTGCCAACGCGGGCGCTGAAGTCACCAAGGACAATCAACTTATCCGTCTTCAGCACAGTCGACAGGAGGGCGTGTAGGTCCCCGTAGAATTTGTTCTTTACTGTGTCAGGGTTGGTCATCGGGGAGCGCAGACGCTGATGATGGTGGCGAATTCGCCTCCCCTGAGAGTCAGGTGGAAACTCATCAAACGGAAAATGAAGATGCGATCACTGGGACAAGAAGTTTATTTGCCTGACGTTTCGGATTCTCACTCGAATCCATCATCAGAGACATTCGCAGATAGAGGTGAAGGTGGCACCAGGAGTGCAGTATTTATAGCACGTGGCTGCCGTGGGACCGTATGCGCACTGCAATTAACAGTTCTCACAATCACCGCTGGGGTCGTAATTGATGCGGCGGTGGCTTGGCGGTCCGAGTCCGAGTTGTTAATCGCCGCGATTTCGTCATCCGTGCTCGATGCTGGTGTGACGATTGCTCGGCAAACTGGCTCACTGTCACCGTGATAATTGCTCACCCGCGCCCTCCCCACGTGACTGATTCTCCTGCCCAGGGAAAATCGCAATACGGAATAGGGCACCGGGAGGTCATTGTGTTTGTTGATGGATTGCAGACCTGAGAACCATGACTCGATTTGCTCGCGGCTCACGCGGTTGTCACCCCTTGCGAGGATTTCGGCCTCTTGAAATTTGAAAATATGTCCAGGTCCCGTCGAGTGTGCCGCCACCTGAGAGTTAGCGTCTCCCCGCCTCACTGCTGTTGCGTGCTCGGCAAGTCGCGTACGGAGTAATCTCCCAGTTTCTCCGACATAATTGCTTTGTCCGCAACTACACCAGATCCGGTAAACGACTCCAGACGTTTCCTGCCGGAGCAGGGGGTCTTCTGGCCTCATGAGTTGACGCCTAATGGTTGCTTCCGGCCTGTGTGCAACCCCAACTCCAAGTGGAGTGAGAAGACGACTGACGGCTTCCGAGACGTTCTTCACGTACGGAAGAGCCCGCCAAAATTTGGGGCTAGTTGGATTTGGTCTCTGGTGTCCTTTTCGTATGCACTGGTTGACAAAGTTGCGCGGGTAGCCATTGGCTCTCATTACCCGTCGAAGATATTGTGATTCAGCAACCTTGTCTTCCATTTCACTGCAGTGCGTCTCAACACGCCGGTATAGCGCCCTAACGCAACTACGTTTGTGACTGATCGGGTGGTTGCTATTGAAGTTCAGTATTTGTGTCGTATTTGTCGCTTTCCTGAACACTTTGGTTTTTAGGCCACCACAATCTTTGCGGCAGACGAGGACATCCAGGAAGGCCAGCTGATTGTTTTCCTCCTCCTCCATCGTAAATTGAATGTCCGGGAAGACGGCGTTGAGTTGTTCTTTGAAAGTCAGCGCCTGATCCCGTTCGATGACGACGAAGGTGTCATCCACATACCGAGCCCAAAATTTCGGTCTGTGGTGTCGGAAAACCAGCGACTCCAGCCGTTGTAGGACCGCCTCGGCTATGAGTCCCGAAATCGGCGAACCCATCGGCGTTCCCTTCACCTGCTCGTAGATTGTTCCGTCGAACGTAAAGTACGTCTTGAGACAGAACTTCAGGAGCTGGATGATTTGGGCGTGTCCGAGGCGATTCTCCGTTTCGTCGTACTTCTCTCGTAGGAGTAGTTCGATTGTCTCGACTGCCAGGTCCTGCGGGATAGAAGTAAAAAGGGACGTGACATCAAAGGAAACCATGATATCGCTTGGCAGGAGACTTACTCCTTTAAGTTTCTCCAAGAATTGCGTTGACGAGCTGACTGTGGTGTTCGAATCGGAGGTCAGAAACTTGAGACGTTGGAACAGCCACTTTGCCAGTCCGTAGGTTGGAGTGCCCTTTAGTGATACGATAGGCCGGAGAGGAGCGCCCTCTTTGTGCACTTTTGGGAGACCGTAGAATCGGGCTAGGGCAAATAAACTTCTTGTCCCAGTGATCGCATTTTCATCTTCTGAACTGCTACCTGGGACTCGCCTGTTCGCTTCTATCAGCAATCATCAAACGATCGTTGATGCCCTGCGGCAGACGGGGCAGTCGTCCCACGATGGCATTCTGGATGGCAAAGTCGACGCCCGCGTCCCGTCGCTATGCCTTGGGGCAACCGCTCCAGAAGAAGGTGTAGCTGGCACCCACCTCCTCCAATTGACCTTACTCGGAGAAGCGAGTCTCGAGGCGTGCGGCGATGTCCACCACGTAGCGCACCAGTTCCCCAGCCACTGGCGCCATCTGTTCTTGTCGGTTGCTCCTCGGATTGTCTAGAAGTGAACGAACATTCCAAGATGGCAGAGTGAACGGACTCGCGCTATCGGCCTGTGGGGCGGGGCGGGGGAGGATGAAGGAGAGAGAGAGAGAATAGTGTTTCTTGTTTGATTGCTTCGACCGTGTGTTTTGTGTCTGCGTGCCACGGTCAGAGTTCAGAGGGCGTGGTCCCGGCATTT